GGTACTTTCTATACACCAAGATCTATGCTGAGCTTGTCCCTCACAACAGTCCTGAATGAGGAAACTATGCAAAAGTCGGCTGTAGTGTGCTTGACCATGGCTACATAGCTAAACAGTGTGTTTAGCTGATTAGTACCCAGATATTTCAGAATCCAAAATTTTGGCTCTTTCTCCAGCATCCTCTTGCCTCTGACATTAGGCCCTTTTGAAAATTTATGTCCACCATTAGTAGCTGATATCTGTCCAAACATCACACCTGTCTTGCCTCTCGAGAGTATTTTAAATGTATAGGCTAATATTCTCTGTCCACTTTCAAACTTCTTGGAGATTCCACATCATATAATATCTCCAGCCAAGTTTCCTAGCTGTGTTAGCTTCCTCTTACTGTGAGAAAATACCTGAGTTAATCAATTTAAAAGAAGAGAAGGTAAGTTTGGCTAAGGGCTTCAATTCTTGGTGACTTGGCCTTGCTGCTTTGGGTCTGTGGTGGTACAGCACGTCATGACAGAGGCACATGGTAAAGGAGGCTGTTCACCTCATGGCTGCCAGGAATCAAAAAGAGAGAAAGAATAGGGGCAAGGCTCCCAATATTCTCTTCAAGGAAATAGCCTTTAGTGACTTAACTTCTCAGGAGGACCCTCTTTTTTTTTTTTTTTTATTCATATGTGCATACAATGCTTGGGTCATTTCTCCCCCCTGCCCCCACCCCCTCCCTTACCACCCACTCTGCCCCCTCCCGCTCCCCCCCACCCCCTCAATACCCAGCAGAAACTATTTTCCCCTTATCTCCAATTTTGTTGAAGAGAGAGTATAAGCAATAATAGGAAGGAACAAGGGTTTTTGCTGGTTGAGATAAGGATAGCTATACAGGGAGTTGACTCACATTAATTTCCTATGCATGTGTGTTACCTTCTAGGTTAATTCTTCTTGATCTAACCTTTTCTCTAGATCCTGGTCCCCTTTTCCTATTGGCCTCAGTTGCTTTTAAGGTATCTGCTTTAGTTTCTCTGCGTTAAGGGCAACAAATGCTAGCTAGTTTTTAGGTGTCTTACCTATCCTCATCTCCCTTGTGTGCTCTCGCTTTATCATGTGCTCAAAGTCCAATCCCCTTGTTGTGTTTGCCCTTGATCTAATGTCCACATATGAGGGAGAACATACGATTTTTGGTCTTTTGGGCCAGGCTAACCTCACTCAGAATGATGTTCTCCAATTCCATCCATTTACCAGCGAATGATAAATTTCGTTCTTCTTCATGGCTGCATAAAATTCCATTGTGTATAATACCACATTTTCTTAATCCATTCGTCAGTAGTGGGGCATCTTGGCTGTTTCCATAACTTGGCTATTGTGAATAGTGCTGCAATAAACATGGGTGTGCAGGTGCCCTGGAGTAACCTGTGTCACAGTCTTTTGGGTATATCCCCAAGAGTGGTATTGCTGGATCAAATGGTAGATCAATGTTTAGCTTTTTAAGTAGCCTCCAAATTTTTTTCCAGAGTGGTTGTACTAGTTTACATTCCACCAACAGTGTAAGAGGGTTCCTTTTTCCCCCATCCTCGCCAACACCTGTTGTTGGTGTGTTGCTAATGAGGCTATTCTAACAGGGGTGAGGTGGAATCTTAGTGTGGTTTTAATTTGCATTTCCTTTATTGCTAGAGATGGTGAGCATTTTTTCATGTGTTTTTTGGCCATTTGAATTTCTTCTTTTGAGAAAGTTCTGTTTAGTTCACTTGCCCATTTCTTTATTGGTTCATTAGTTTTGGGAGAATTTAGTTTTTAAGTTCCCTATATATTCTGGTATCAGTCCTTTGTCTGATGTGTAGCTGGCAAATATCTTCTCCCACTCTGTGGGTGTTCTCTTCAGTTTAGAGACCATTTCTTTTGATGAACAGAAGCTTTTTAGTTTTATGAAGTCCCATTTATCTATGCTACCTCTTAGTTGCTGTGTTGCTGGGTTCATTGAGAAAGTTCTTACCTATACCTACTAATTCCAGAATATTTCCTGCTCTTTCCTGTATCAACTTTAGAGTTTGGGTCTGATATTAAGATCCTTGATCCATTTTGAGTTAATATTGGTGTAGGGTGATATACATGGATATAGTTTCAGTTTTTTGCAGACTGCTAACCAGTTTTCCCAGCAGTTTTTGTTGAAGAGGCTGCTTTTTCTCCATCGTATATTTTTAGCACCTTTGTGAAAGACAAGTTGCTTATAGTTGTGTGGCTTCATATCTGGGGAGGACCCACCTCTTAATGGTTACACTGCCTCCCAAGAGTGCTGCAGGCTGGTGACCAAGCCTTTAACACATGGGCCTTTGGGGGCCAGTGATCTAACCCATAGCACTAGCCTCTTAAATAACTTATCTGATGTTTAGGTCTGCACCATATCTACTTGAACTGCTTATACATGCTTCATAATATTTGAGCATATATAATTTTATGAGGTAGAAAAGGCTTATGACATTTTTGGTTTTCTGGGTTTACATCGCACTGGAACTGTTTTACCTTTGATGATTAGGAAGAAAATTGAATTCCACATAACTTCTTTTATTTTTGGCAGTACTAGGGCTTGACAGGGCCTTGTGCTTGCTAGACAGGCACTCTACCACTTAAGTCATGCTCCTAGCATTTTTTTTTTTTTTTGCTTTAGGTTATTTTTCAGGTAAGGGTCTACCTTTTTTTCCCAAGGTTGGCCTCAGATCATGATCTTCTTTTCCATGTAGAAGGGTCTCAATATGTAGCACAGCTGGTCTTGAATCTGTAATCCTTTTGCCTTAGTACAGGCACATGTCACCATATACCTCTTATAAGTCAATGTTATTATAAGGCATATATTTTTATAGAAGCTTCTTCTGTCCCCAACATGTCCCTTAAAGGGTTTTTATGTCTTTCTCTCAGTTAATGTTATACATCATGAGATAAAAGCTAAAAATTAAATGAATAAGGACACATGAGATTACTGCTTAACATGCAATAGTTGAAAGGCATACAATAGTTCAAGACATTAAAAACCCCCAAGATTTGTTTTCTGATCAATAGTCTATTTATTGATATCATAATCTTTAACAAAAAGTTTCAAAGTACAAAGTATAAATGCCAATACTGCTTTGGGTTACAATTTACTTGCTTAGAGAGGAGACATGTATCTGTAAGTGATGAATGACTATAGTGTGGCTATATATATTTATCATAGATACTTAGTGAAAATATGTCATTTTTGGTTTTAGTTATACACTGTCAGTTTTACCTGTGAGATACAAGGTACCTGGGTCACAGACTAACACATTATGGAGCATGTTTAGATTTTTCAGATGAGTTACATGGAATACTTAATGCTTCATGATTAAGTATTTTTGGGTGGGATCACCACTGGGCAGCACTCAAAATCATCTGCAGTGACATTATTTGGGAAAGTGAGCATAGGTTTAAATTCCAGCCAGAGACATCTCTCGCTCAGTTCAATGAACTTTCTCTCTGAGGACTTTCCAAGCCCCCGGAAGCTAACTTGGTACCAACTGCGCCTCCACCTTGAGAGTTTGCTGTTCCCTCTCGCTCTTGTATCTTACCATTCCTTTTCTTTAAGTTGGTTTGATAATTGATCATTGCAATACTTCGCAAATTATAAAATGAGGTAAACTGGCAATAAAATGGGTATTTATCTAAAGTGAGTTGTCAAAAGGATTTTGGTGGCGTGGCTATGTTGTTGGATCATAGAAAGCTGGAGCTTGTCAGAAATGGTATTGAGTAGGGAAAGGCTGGACACTGGCTGATCAGTAAAGCCCCTTGTCATTGTAATTTTATGAATAGTTTAGAATACTCACAAGTGTTTTCAACATGTGCTTCTTATTTGTTTGAGAAGCCAAGTTAACATCCTGTCATAGTAAGAGAGGATGCAGTTTCCTTCCTGGTCCCTGCAGTGACAATGACAGAGGATAATGAGAAGAGGTTACCAGGTACCAGACAATCTGGAATAGCCAGGAACAGCAGTGTCTGCTGTAAGTGTTCTGATACCTTCCTAAATGTAACAGCTACAATTAGGAAATTATTCAAAAACCTAGTTTCACTGACTTTTAAGCATGGTGGCACATTTAGGGAAATAAATTATGTCTTTTACCCTCAAGGAACTGACAATCTGGTTGAAAAGAGAAAATAAACACACAAAAATTAGTTATGTAACAACTAAGTGCTAACTTATGTGGTACTAAAAACAAGTGAAATAGGAGTTTTAAGATAATTTGAGCATATGGAATGTTTTTAAAATTTTTATTTATTTATTGTAATGTTAGGGATCAAACCCAGGCTTTGAGCATGCTAGGGAAGTGCTCTACCACTGAGCCCTCCAGAAAGGTTTTATTTAAGAGGCAGGACTTGAACTGAGCCTTGAAGACTGGATCAAGTGGAAGATGGAGTCACATGACCTCACAAGCCAAACAGAAGGTTGTGAAAGCCAAGTGCTGGTGATCTCCAGTGGTAGATCTCCAGAAACAACCAGCAAAAGTCCTTCAGATGAGTTGTGGGAGAGGCCTGTAAGCTGATTCACACGCACATGCCAACAACCATGGCAGTTTGGTCAAGTCCAGCTCAGTTCCAAACTGCTTGGCTCAGCATGCAGACTAGACCTGGGCTTGCTGACATCCACCCCAGAATACTCTCTGGAGGCCACAGTTTGTAGCCCTAGAAGCCCAGGCAGCTGTTGTGTGTGGGATGTGTTTGTGTAAACATTTGTCCAGATGTGGATATTACTAAGATTGTGGTGACAAACATGAAGAAATTTAGTTGGCTGGGATAGAAGAACAAAGACTATGATGGCCTCTAACAATTCCTAATAATTGGGTTTTAAAATTAACTCTGTAGCTTTAATTACAATTTCATAATAATGCTTTAAGTTTTCTAGTCAAATTAATAAATTTGTATATTAGAGGTTTAGTAATTTCTGCTGGAATTATCTCAGTACAATTTAAAAAAACATTGAAGCATAAAGTACTTGTTGGTAAAGAAGTCTTTTATGTAGTCTTCTTTTGATGACGACGTTGAGATTTTTTAGCTTTTTGAATTTTCTTCATTTTTGGATGTTTTTTCCCTTTCTTTTGCTTTTTCTTTTGGCTGGTCTGCAAGGAGAGGTGAAAAAGGACAATGATTTTGAGTCATATCTTTTTTTCCCTTATATTCAAACTCTTCCTGACTAGGTATAGTCTTTTTTTATTCTAAAAACTGGCTACTGGCTTAAAGTTGCTTTTCTCTCAAAAGGGTCCCTTTGATTCTCCATTTGTTCAACTTTGAGAAGGAAGCAACAGCTTTCCAATTGTTCTTCTTTTTGTCTGTTCTTCTGGCTTATTATAGACCTTACCCCAATCTATCTATCGTCCACCTGTACTGACCCCAACCCTCTGAATCTGGTAACTATTAACACTCATTTTTACATATGAGGAGGCTAAGGCTAGGACAGGGTGATTTGCCCAAAGATGGACAGCTAGTTTGTGAAAAAGTCAGTAGTCTGTCAGACTCAGAACCCAAGCACATATTCTATGGCTCTCCTCAAATCCAACTCGTTAGCATGTCACATAGGATTCTTCCCACTTTTTCCTGGTTCTCGGTCTCTGCTCTCTTTATATAAACTTCAGTTAGACTACTTGAGGCTCTCTGAGCACAGAAAGCAATCTCATGATTCTACTCTTCTATTCATGCTGTGCTTACCTTCCTGCTAAACTACTTATCCTTCCAGATCCAAATCAAACATCACCTGATACGAGAAGTCTTTCTTAATACTTTTTCCCTGTCCTTCCTCCTGGCAAAAAAATTACTCCTTCTATAATCTATATACCCATATTTTAAATTTCTTCTGTTATATCACAATTAGTATTATTTGTTGTTTTAAAATACCTGCCATAGAAGGAAAGGACTATATCTTATTACCTTGGTATTCTCAGTGTCTTACATTTCAATTCAATACAACTTAATGAAAAGATAAAAAATGCATTCTTAATAGAACTACACAGATCCTTTGTTTTCTAAAGTTAATTTCTAAAAGAAATTTTTGTTCCTCCTCTTCACCAACCTGTTTCTCCCACTCTTTCACCAATTTCTTCACATATATTGAATCTGGGTTTAGACATGTTTGATTACCATTCTTCATTGTAGCACTGCCAAAAACAAAACAAAAAAAAACCCGAGATTTTTTTCCTTATTAATAATTTTTGCAGAAATAATGAAAATAAGCATGGAATTGCTGAATCTTCTAATGAAACTACTTAAAAGATAATATAATATTAAAGCAAGGTAAAGTGGTCACTTTAAAAATTATACTTCAAAGAATACTTTCAAGATCTTTTCATTAATTTTCCTGTACAATCTGAGAATAAGAGTAGCTATTCCACATATCATCCTTGATTTAGGTATCAAAGGAATAAAATATGCATGTCCTTTAACAATAACAATTATAACTTCTGGAAAGCCATTAATAAGACATAAAGACAACACTGCCACAATAGGAGTTTGAAAACAGCAAAATAACCTACATTTCTAACAATAGGCAGTGGTCATATAAGTTATGACATACTCATATGATGAAACACAATTTGACTATTAAAATGACATTATTAGACCTTGGGGGTATGGTTCAGTGGTAGAGTACATGCTTAGCATGCACAAGGTCCTGGGTTCAATCCCCAGCATTATCTCCTGCAAAAGCCATCATTTAAAAAAATGACATTATTAGAGATTTACTGACATGAGAAAATTTTCATAATTATACTATGAATGAAAAATCACATTATAAAACTGTACAGTAGACTGTCTTCATCCACAGGGAGAAATATTTTAAGATATTTTACAGATGCCTGAAACCTTAGATAGTACTGAGCCCTATATGCTATTTTTTCTTATATATATGTATTCATGATAAAGTTTAAGTTATAAATTAGGCATGGTAAGAATATAAAAAAACAATAAATACTACTAAAATAAAATAATTATAGCAATATATTATAACAACATTATTAAAAACTTATTGCTTATTTCTGGAATTTTCCATTTCACATTTTTGGGCCATGGTTGACTAAGGGTAACTGAAACTTAGGAACATGAAATCAGCAGATAAGAGGGGAAGTACTATATGTAGTGTATTATTTTATTGATTTTATTTATATGGATATATGTGGATATATATGTATGTGTATATATGTATAATATAAACATACACACAAAGCAAATGAGGGAACGTAGGAAGATCATATACTGAGGGATTCATAGCATTTATCACTGGATGATAGGCTTATAAGTGACTTTTATTTTCTTCTTTTCAGCTATAAGCATTAAACATTATCTAGGAAACTATTTTCAAACAGAATCTATGTTTTTCTGAATTGCAATACTAACTAGTCCCAAATAAATGTAATTCTTTTTGTTCTTGAAAATAAAACATTTTCTACAATGAACATGTATATTACCCTTGATTTCTAATCTCTACCAGAAATTTCTTATTTTATATGAGAAGAAAAGAAAGGAGCAGACCATCTGAATTTTAACTACTTGTCTGTATGGGCAAGTAGTCTGAAGGTGATGGTCATACTAAATTCAATGTCTCTGCAATATGGCATATGTGTGTTAGATGGGTTTTACTTACATGATTTCAATTATTTCACAGGAAGGACTTGGGGCAAATTGTTTAAGGTCTTTTAAGAATTTGAGGTTGATCATTTCTTGCTTAGTGTCAATGCAGGAACAACGTAGATTCCTCATTATTGGGGTTCCTATAGGAAAGAAAAGAACAAAATGTAAGAGTTTAGGTCAAGGTCTCAATTGATATGATCCATCAAGCTGATACATTTGATGTAATCATAATTATTGCTGTCATTTTCTGAGATGTCTGTAAATCATTACCACAATCTTTTGAAGTAGGTATTATCTCCATTTTGTAGATAAGAAAGCTAAGGTTCATAAACATTAAGTAAAGAACAAAGTCATACAGCTTTTAGTGGGTAGGAGTAGGGTTTCAGTTCAAGTCTCTGAGTTCACAAGTGTTGCTCTTAACTACCTTACAACGTGAGGTGAAAAAGAAACATTCACAATATTTAATATGCCTATTGTAAGTTAAACACACAGATAAATAATTCAGGTGTGCTATGTAGATCAGTTTCTTAAGCAATTCCCAAATCCATCTATGATCTGACCTTAGTGGAATGGAGTTGGTGTAGTTTGGACAGAAAGGTCTACTTATAATAACCGATTACCATTTCCAGCCTCACCTTCTCTCTTCCCCTATTGCCTTGATTTTCAGTAGTGCTTTAAACATTTGAAAAGTTTGTTGTTGTTGTTGTTTGTTTGTTTTTGCAAGCAATAGTGGGGATTGAACACAGGGCTTCGTGCAAGCTTGGTAAGCATTTTACACTTAAGCCCCATACCTCCACCTCCTAAGTAGCTGGGATGATTATAGGCATGCATTACCATGAAAAGTCTTTAAAATACTTTCATACTTTAATTCTTACATTAATTTGGCATGTAGTTACTTGGTGATTACTATGACACATGTTAACTACAAAATTTCCACGTTACAGAAGAGAACACTGAGCTATAGAAAGGTTATTTGCCCAAGATAACAAAAGTAGTAAATAGATTATGGACAACTTCTCTGCTTTTTAGGTTCTCAGTTGGTTAGCTGCAGATATATTTACCACGAAGTGATATCAGGGTTATGAAAATAATTTAGGACATAGTCTTTCATCTCATTATCGGCTGCCAGGCCTGCTGATTTCATCTCCCTTACTATAAATTACCCATTTAGGTGAACTGAAAGTAAAACATGCAGAAATTCCCTTAGATCTGAGAGATGTTTTCTCACTGTTAAATGTTTAAACATTTATTGACCATTTACTAGGAATTCACATACCTAGACTGAGAAGACTTGTGTTTGACTTCACAAATTAAAGTTGCAACCTTTGGACAACTGGTCACATCACCAAGATGCTTTTATGATTATGAGTATCCAATATTACTTTCTAATGCACACAGAACATTCTTTATCTGGTGAACTAAGAGGCTTTCAATATGATTCACATCTCTGACTTTACTAACCTAATATTACTCAAAATTTCTTACCTTGAACTCCAAACAGAACCAGGAAGACGATGGCCAAGAGGAAAGGAACACCACTTTTCTTCATAGTGGAGGAATGGAGTTCTACTAAGTCACTCCTATGTGGGATTTCAAGTCTGAGAAATTCTTTAGTGAATATGCTATTGGGAATCACATTTATTTAGGAAATCCATTTTCCTTCTAAACTCTGATTGGATGGTGTCATTAACTGATCTAGCTAACTAAACAAAACAATCTTCACTGGGTTGGGGGAAATCCTACTTTCAGATCCAAGGGAATTTCTGCATGTTTTATTTCCATTTCACATAAATGGGTGATTTGTAGTAAGGGAAGTAAAAGCAGCAGAACTCACACCTGCTCACCTGGGTGGGGAATAGATTACAATGAATATATTAAATGTCATAAAATAGGGATTAGAGATATGACTTCCAGATGGGAAATATTAAAGTCTGGGGTAGTATTTCCTTATTATTTGAGGCATGTTCTTCTGTATAGTATATGGTTACAATTATCTTTTTTTATATTGTCCACCCAACAACTTCAAGCACCTTAATTTCTTCAGAGACAAGATTATTTTCTAGTAGTGTTAACTTCAGTTAGCATAATGGTTCGATTGCATGTAAGAGTTCCAAGTTAACACTGGCTTACCTAAGCAGCTCATTTTTCCCTGAAAGAGGTAGGTGGACTAGTGCTTATATGGTGGCTCTTTTCCAAGAATTGGTCCAAGCTCCTCCAATCTCCTTGCTTAACTACTATTTCTAGATTGTTGCCCTCATGAACCTAGCCAAATGTAGCTTGCTAGCATGCCCAATTTCTAAGTACAGGATAGTAGGAAGGCAGAAAAGAGGCATCTCACTCCTTCTTACGCCCACTCTAGAAATTGCACCCATTACTTTCCATGCAGCAGAACTTATTCACATGGCCACAGGACACACCGAGCTGCAGGGGAAGTTGAGAAATGTGATCTTATTCTAGTTGACCAGCTAAAGATTGGAGGTTCCATTACTGAAAAATGATGTTTCTCCCTTGGGGAAGCTGAACTAGGGCAGGAGCCCAGGCCCCTCAATGGGCCCATGACGTCCCCTGACTTTGTGTGGCTTCACTCTTTCCTAGTTGCCATGTTAACATTGTAGCAGACACTCCTCCAAGCCTCAAAGATGGAATGGGCTTGTGTCTGAAAGCAGTCGCTGCCACTCCCACCCCAAAACTCACAAGAGGCATGTGGACAAAACTGAGACAGATGGGCTTCCTTAAGCACAAATACTGGTTTTTGTTATCTTTCTGATGAAAAATGTTCTGATGAACAAAGAAGTAAAATCAGGGAATCCCTGGCCTTGCCATAGAAAAGCCCAAAGTACTCAAACATCCTCAAAGAGTTAGAGTATTTATTTTTTGAGGAACCATATAACATATCCAGTAAGAAGGGTGCCAGATGTAAGCAATTTTATGAAAGAACAGAAGATAATTCCTAATTTAAAAGTAAGTCTTAGAAAGCAATGGCTGAAAATTTATGTAGCAGCTTTTGTTTTGGAAAGAAACAAGTTGAAAACATGACAAATGTATCAGTGTTTCATACTTCCTATCCCGAGTTTATTGTGAATGACCTATTTGAATTGGTAGAAATACGGTAACTTGATGTGCGTAGGAAAATCCTACCTGTCACTGAAAATAGAGTTTGTTCTTTTGAAGCACAAAGTATTAAGAAAAGAAACACACTGTGGCCATCACAACTTCATATGATTCTTTTTTTGGGTGGTACCAGGGATTGAACTCAGGGCTTCACACTTGCTATTTGAGTGCTCTACCACTTGATTTACTCCTTTCCTCCGCCCCGATCTCTCCTCTACCCCATTCCCCCCATCTTGTCCAATTTGCTTTAGTTGATTTTGTGTGTGTGTGTGTGTGTGTGTGTGTGTGTGTGTGTGTTACTGGGATTTGAACTCAGGAATTCATGCTTGCTGAGCAGGCACTCTATCACTTGGGCCACTCCACCAGCCTACTTTGGTTGATTTTTGATGGAGTCTTGTGCTTTTTTTCCCAGCTGGCCTCAGAGTGTGATCCTCCTACCTCTGTCTCCCAAGTATCTGGGATTATAGGCATGAACCACCATGTCCAACCCTCATCCAAATCTTATTACTGAGGTCAGCCAGCTCTAGGATGAAATTTAGTGTAGTTTTGCATAAATATAACTGTTCTACTACCTACATCTTTTGCTTTTTCCAAATGTTTCAATATCACCGAGTGTCCCTGATAGTAAAAGACTGGCTTTGAACTATGAGAAATTGTACATTCATGTCCATTTTCTAAGGGGTATAAAGAGCCTACTATTTTCCAAAAGAAAACTAAACATTCAGTAGCAAGCAACTTAAAAAATTTTAAAACTGTTATTACATCTGCTCTGGAAGTTCAAAATTCTTCTGGCAGCAGAAGTTAGGGCCAAGATAAGTAAGACAATGCTAATTAGAAATAATGGACACTTTTCCTCAGAGGATATTACTCTCTGGAACAGGAAGGAAGTGGGAGGACAGGAAATTACAGGATAAAAGACCAAAATAGGAAAAAAAAGTTCTCTAAACATGACCTGAGAAAAAAGAATGCGAACAAATGAAAACAAAAGAGTTTTTGTGGTTTTTTTTTTTTGTGAAACTATGGTTTGAACTCAGGACCTAAAGCTTGCAAAGCAGGAGCTCTACCATAAGAACACAAATAACAAATGTTGGCAAGGATGTGAGAAAAAAGGAACCCTCATACACTGCTGGAGGGAATGTAAACTAGTATAACCACTATGGAAAACAATATGGAGTCTCCTAAAAAAACTAAAAATAGAACTGCCATATGATCCATCAACTCAACTCCTAGGGATATACCCCACTACTGATAAATGGATTAAGAAAATGCAGCACTGGGTTTGAATTCAGGGTCTCATGCTTGCCAGGCAGGCATTCTACCACTTGAGCCACTCTACCAATCCTACAATAGAATTTTTCATTTACAAAATCAGAGAGCAGGAGGGTGGAAAAGGTCCTGCCTAGGCAGGCTGGTACCAGTGGGAGGGGGAAGGAGGTGGGGAAAGGGCATGGGAGGGTGAATACAGTGCAGATACTGTGTACACATTTGTGTAAATGGAAAAAAGAGACCTGTTGAAACTATTCCAGGAATGGGGGAAGGGAGAATAAAGGAGAATGGTGGGAGTATGATACATTTGATATACTGTAAAAACTTTTGTAAATGCCACAATGCATCCTCATCCAGCACAACAATAAAAAAATGAAATAAAATAAAAATTTAAAAAACAGCTTAGGGCTGGGCATGGTGGTTCACACCTGTAATTCCAATTATATGGGAGGTGGAGATCACGAGGAACTCTGAGGTCAGCTTGGGCAAAAAGTTAGTGAGACTCCCATCTCAACCAACAAGCTGGGTGTGGTAATCCATGTCTACAATCCCAGCTTCATGGCAGGCTTCATAGGAGGATCATGGACCCAGGCCAGACCTGGTGAAAAGCAAGTCCCTAATCTAAAAACTAACCTAAAAAGCAAAAATGGTTAAAGGTGTGAGTCAAGTGGCAGAGTGCGTGCCTAGCACGTGTGAGGCTGAGTTCATGTACTATGCTCCCGCTAAAAAGAAGAGCTTAGAAGTCTTAGCACCATAGGCCTTTACTGCTTTAAGGCTGGACAAAAATATCGGCAGAAGACAATGAAAGTATTGAAACAGTCTGACCAAGAGCTTGATAATATTAGGAAAAAAATTGGAAATATTCTTTAGTCTATAATATAGCTCGTAGACCAACTTCAGCCAGTCATTGGATACACCCATTAATATAAGAAAAAAACCTACAGAGCTGTTATTTTTCTATAAATTGACTCAATATACTATGCCATGCACAGATCTTCCTCTTCCTTCTCCACCCTCCTTGTAGACTTCCAAGAATGGGGTTTCAATGAGGTAGCTTATGCAACCTCCTTTTAAAGATTATCCTAAAGTAATCTCCTTGGAAAAATAAATCAAACCATTAGCATATAAATCATTTTTCTCTTCCCTCTCCTCCACCAGGGGCTCCTTCTCTCTCCTCTCCCTACATTGGTTGGTTTAACTCTTGAATTGTATCTAACTTCGGAGGCAGGCGACACTCCAGGTATATCAGAACTTTAGTAAAACAAAAAGAGTGAAAAATATTTCTGGAATCAAATAAAAATCATCTAGACAATGTTTCTCAACCTATTTTTCATTATACACTCCTCTTCCCTAGGAAAATGTATTTAAATGAACAGAAATCTAAATTAAACCAAATTTCTCCTTAAAAAGAGAAATTGAGTACTAAGAAATAAATTTTGTTATGTAGGGCTGAACTTACATGGGTCACTAATCATTGCAAAATCTAAGAAATCTTAGCCTTCCAAAACCAGTGTTTGTTTCCTTGAAGAAATATTACCTCCCTTTCAAAATGCATTCTACAGAATAAGGGAAAAGCAGCTATTAGTATAAAATGCTAGCACCTGGTTTCTGTACGAATTACTAATGCCTAAATAGAATATTACAGAATTGTTTTTGAAGCAAACCTGTGATGACTGTTAGGAAAATGCCACACACCGCACACAAAGGAGTCTCACGAGAGGTATGTCTAAAAGTTTAATAAGCAAGGGCTAGGGATGGGCAAAGCGAGGTGGCAGGAGATAAGGGACAGTGGGCTTTGTTCTGCAAGGAATGAAACCAGCTGCAGCTCAGGCTGCAGAATGGTGGCGAGGGGCAGTTCTTATCAATGACCTTTGATAAAAGCTTACTCATGTGGTCATGCTTAATCCTGGTAGCGACTGTGACCCTGCAGAAGGCAGCGCTGGGTTCAGGTGCCAGCTTTGTAGAATGCTTCTGTGAGCCTCCGCTCTGTCCCCCGGGGAAGCCAACTCCACAGGTGGTAGCTAGTGATTGACAGCAGCCATGCTCGCCAACTGCAAAGCATCCTAGAGCCAGCGGCCAGCCCTCCTAGCGAAGCACGGGAACGCGAAGCTTCTAAGGAGAAAGCCTGAGGCCCAGCATGGTCGGCCCAGTTCACACGTGCAGCCTCTCTCG